CTGCTCCTACTACCAACATACACCCCTCTCAGAAGGAGTGCTCCTGTCACTACCAGAACTGTCACAACCTGGCCTGAGGGTGCCTCTGAACAGCTGCAGGACTGCTTTGAATCAACCTCCTGGGACGTATTTGAACACCATGATCTGGAGCTGTACACAACAGCTGTCCTGGGTTACATCGACTACTGCTCCAACAACGTCACTGTTGAGAAACGCATCCGTGTCTTTCCGAACAGAAAGCCATGGATGACGAATGATGTACAGCGCCTGCTTAGAGAGAGGAATATCGCCTTCAAGTCTGGTGACCGGGCATTGTACAGTGCTGCCAGAGCTAACCTGAAGAGGGGCATCAGAGAGGCCAAGGCTGTCTATAAGGGGAGGATCGAGGACTGTTTCCAGAGTAACAACTCCAGGCAGATGTGGCAGGGGGTCCAGCACTTTACCAACTACAGACCCAGCAACACGTCAGCCGATGTCGGCGACACGTCCCTGGCGGAGGAGCTGAACCACTTCTTCGCCCGCTTTGAGGCAGAATCACAGGACACAGTAATACCACACCTACCAGCTCGAAGCAATCACACCTTCACAGTGAAGGAGCATGAGGTGAGGCGCTCACTTAGGGCTGTGAATCCAAGGAAGGCTGCGGGCCCGGATGGCATTGGTGGACAAGTACTTCGGGATTGCGCAGATCAACTGGCTGGGGTTCTTACCAGAATCTTCAACCAGTCACTGTTCCAGGCAGCTGTCCCGCCATGCCTCAAGTCTTCAATTATTGTGCCCATCCCTAAAAAGACCTCCATCAACTGTCTTAACGACTACCGCCCGGTAGCACTAACATCAGTCGTGATGAAGTGCTTTGAGAGACTGGTCCGGACACACATCATTGCTAATCTCCCACCCAGGCTTGACCCGCACCAGTTCGCCTACAGAACCAACAGGTCCACAGAGGATGCCATTGCCACAACTCTTCATATTACTCTGTCCCATCTTGAGCGGCAGGGGAATTATGCACGTCTGCTCTTCGTGGACTTCAGCTCTGCTTTTAATACCATTCTTCCCAACAGACTGGTGACCAAGCTGTCAGACCTGGGCATTTCCAGCTCAGTCTGCCTCTGGATCAAAGACTT